AAGGAGAGTTTGAATAACGTGTAGAGTAAAATGAGGGAAAACATGATATTCAACTAAAAGGTCCTTCGTAACCTGAGCAATGAGACAATTTAATGAAGTAGGGGATGCCCTTCAAAGCTAGAATTGGGAGTGGTGAAGTGATCGTGAATCACTTTTTTCAGAAGATGGACCTTAAGAGACAGGACAGGACATTCTTGATGGCGAGGGAACGGAGGATCAGAGGCGGTGTTTCTCGGGGACGGGATGTGTCGAGCATGAAGGAAAGACCGAGTCTGGGAGAAACTGGCTAATGGACGCCGGGTTCAGTTAGGACACACTTGGAACTCACACCCAGGTTCCCAGAAATCCCAATCCGTGTTCACACCCCTGCGTGCATCAGGTCTTAACTTACATGCCGTCAACCAGGGGAAACTTGGGTCCTTCTGAAACAAGAGCTCAGAGAATCTGAAACATCTGGTTCTGGACTAGCGATGGTCATCCGTCCAGCTCTTGACGCAAGGGGACGTTGTCAACACCCCTTACCTTGCAGGATGGCTGTCGTGGTCCGAGGGGTAATGGAGGTCTTGGGGCTTTGGGAAGTGGTGACACAGAGACCATTGTGGTTACTCACCTGCACGCGCTACATCGAGCAGAAGAACACAGTAGGGGGTGTGCACGCCCAATAGTCCTGGCCCCTGCCGGGGTGTCTCCAAGTTACTGGCTGTGCCACCCTGGGCTGACAGTGCCGGCCCTAAGGTGTGCCGGACGTGAGGCATGACCACTCCCGGCACAGAGGCTGTCCTTGTTAAATATCGGCTCTTTGTGATTCGGTTCGGAGCTCCCCTGCGGGGACTGCACAGTGCCTCACCCAGGTCCAGATGGGCAGGACTCACTGCACAAACCTGACCCACATCTTTCTTAACCCTGTTCTGTCTCGTGCTGAAGCTTCCGCGCAGTCAACCGCTGCCTCATCCGCCTCCGGCTTCTCCGGTCCCTGAATTTGAAAGACGGCAGATGCAGGCAGGGACTCGGGAACAGAGGCTCACAGCCTCTGAAACGGGGCGGCCTGGCGGGTGCTGGGTTTTGCCCAGGTATCTTACCCGCGGATACACACTGCTGACCTCTTTGCCTGACCCCCCACTTTAAATGTCCTCAAGGAATAATTGACAATGACCTCGGTCCCTTTCCTCTATCAAACTTGACCATTCAAAATATGTTCTACGTGTGCTGGGGGGTATTTCCCAGGATGCATTTTCTCTGGCTTCTCCTCACTGAGATTCACAGATCACTTTCCTCTCCCACGAAGAAACCTTCTCATGGCTGACCCGTGTCCACGAAGGTTTGATATCAGATGCACATTTTAATGCTGAGTAACCACCTCATCCATATTTTAAAACGGTTTCAAAAGTCTCAGGCTGATGCCACTGGGTCCCAGTGACACTGGAGCACTCGGCTGGTTTTGGGTCCTCGTCCTCTCTCCCCACGTGGGCTCGTACCTCCCCCCCCCCCAGTCGCTACAGCCTGTGCCCATGATGTGGACTCCGTGGTCCCTGCCTTCTCCCCACAGCGCGATCCATCCTGCTCGTCTCCCTCTCCCAACATCTGGGGCCACACTTAGCCACGGCAGGTGCCCAGAATCTGTTGGATGAATTCATAAAGTCAAAAAGTCTATAATTTCTACAAGTTTCAAGAAGTCTAAAATCTTTCAAGGAGACGTGCATGTTCATGGTCATCTGGTTGCAACTGACACCTCCATGCAAGAAGCCGGATACGGATTTCCTCCAAAGTGAACATCAAGTTCTGGTTGACCTCCGCAGGGTCGGGATGCTCCTCAGTTTAAAGGGCAGGTGGCCTTACTGTCAGAGGACCTGAGCCTCAGGTGACTCCGTCCCTCCCACTGCCTCGGCAGAACTCTGCAAGCAAAATACCTCAAGTTTTGACCTATTTCCCTGGGAAGGTCTCCAGTATCTCAGATCACTCACCTGCGTCGTATGAAGTTTTTCTTTAAAAGATACCCTCCTCTTTCAATGCCCGTTATGTGGTCCCGGGCACTTCCTAGTTTGTCTTCACCACAGCGCAGGATGCAGAGAATCGCAGCACAGCCAGTCAAGGGCCATCTGCCACCCAACTCCCAATGGCCAAGGAGCCGCCAGCCCGCAGCCGGACGCCATGTGCTACCTGGTGACCAGGAGATGGACAGTGGGAGGGCGTGGCTCCCCGTAGAGGTTCCCAGAACTGAACAGCAGGAGACACGGGGAAGCACTGGGCCATGTGTGGATGACATTTCTTGCGCTCTGAACCCTGCTCCTCTACTGACAAAACAGCACAGAGCAAGGTGAGATTTCCTCTTGCCCTTTGCAAGCTGGGACCGTTGGCCCCTGACCCGGGGTTGATGCCCCAGATACCTGACCTCCCTGGAGGAGGGGGCTGGGAATGGGGGACTCTCCACACGGTCTTCTTCCGTTGGAAAAGGGAAAAAAGCGTCCTCAATATGATCTTTGTTTGCTCTTTCCTCTTGCCATAAGGGAACCCGGAGGGGTGTGTGAGGCGACTGTTGTAGGCGCCTGGGCTCCCACAGCCTGACACAGCCTTGCAGGCCCCTACCCCTGACAGAGGGGCAATCAGACACTCCGAGGACCTGCCACCCAGGCCTGGACCTGAGTGACATTTCACATTTTCTGTCAATAAGTCTGCTCATCTCTTGAATGGCAACTCACCTTTGAAAAAGGGGGGATTGAGAACATGAACAGCAGGGATTAGAAGTGAAGGACGCCAGACAAAAGGAGGCACCACCGTAAACAGAGGGAGTGTGTGTGTGCGTGCGTGGGTGTGCATCACGGCCAAGTCAGTTCCTGCATCCAGTGGGGTAAGTGGCAAATCACAGCACAGCAAATATTCTGCCGCCTAACTCCCAACGGCCGAGGAGCCTCCCCTCAAGGGCCAAGGCCACCAGGTGACCTACAGGCGGACGGCGGGGGCTGCCCTGCAGGAGGAAAGGGTGTGGCTCCCTGCAGACACCCCAGGCCTGGGGACAGTGCTGGGTGTGAACCTGTGCATGCACACGGCCGTGTCATCTGGAAGGAACCCCCACGTCAGGTGCTTGGAGCTCGGAGCGGGGGTTTCTGCTTTGTCACCACGCAGTGCTCTCAGCTCTGTGTCTCATGTCAGCTGCCTTCTAAAGACCCTTCCCCCTAAAAGCAGCCCCCAGGGCACAGCGGCTCTCGGTAGCCTGAGCCATAACACACTGACGACGAAGGCTGGCTCGGGGCCTACAGAATCTAAAGGCCGCTCAGGGAACCCCTCATCTGGGTGCCCCCACCCTAGAGCACAGAGGGCCATGAACTCGGTGCGCTGTCAGCCCGCCCACCGGAAGGTCACAGGTGCGGGCCGGCCCTCGGTCTTCCTCCCCGCACAATGGAAGGCCCCAAGCAGGTGCTCCCCACATCCCTTCCCTTTTCTGCCACTGGACACACAGTTGTACCTTCTAACTTTAAAACAAACACATTTTATCTTTTTAAAGTTTTCTTAGTGCTTCTGAAGCCCCAAGTTCTTGAAATGATTTCATGGGACTCGGTGTCCCTGTGTGTCCATCCCCGATGTCCTGCCCTGTGTGCCTTTAAGAGAAGGGGTGGTGCGTGTATTTGGTGCGGGAAAGAAGAGGTGGGGGGGGCGGTGAGGGGTGAAAAACACATCGTCTCTTTCAGAAATAAACAGTGTATGTGTCCTGTAGTCTACAAAAGAGAAAAAAAAATACCCTGGTAATCTTGATACATTTTTAGATGAATTAATTATCTTGTGAATTGTGCTAAAACTCTCCTGCTCATAGAAATAAAGAGCCCTAACATTTTGGCTTGTGTACTTCCAAAAAAAAAAAACAAAAAACAAAAAACAAAAAACAAAGAAAACCACAGATCAAGACAAAGGATTTAAGCCACCTCCTGAAATACGGGAAAAAGGTCTTACAAATCTCAAGAACTCCAAGATCTTTTTATTGATTTCAAATTCCAATAGAATGAATATGTTTTATCTAAATATTTTTATCACATAACTGAAACATTGAATTATTTTTTTTTTCAGAAATAGAGTTAAATACATCAATCTAGTTACAAATTCTAATATAAAGAGTACAAAATATAATGTTATAAATTGTATTTAAAAAAAAAGAAATACAAATTCTATGGTCTTTTGCATTTTACTGCCTCAAAGTATAATTAGCAAGGTTGACGAAGAACGAACGCCGTCCCTCGGCCCCGCGACGCCTGCCTGCTGGGGCTCGGGCGCATCGCGCCACCTCTCCACGTCCTGGCCTGGGGTTTTGTTTTCTCAGTGAAGAAAACATTCTGCCATCAGAACTCAACAAAGTTCAAAGCAGTAAAATAACACATGCTCCAGCGTCTGGAAAGTGGGAAGGAAAAGTTAGACATATACGGTCCCTCCTTTTCGTCCGTAACTGAAGCCTCTCGCGGCTTGGCGGGCGATCGTTTGCGATGAAGCGGGATGACTGGTAAGGAGAACGTGGCCACGAGTGTCCAGGGGGTACAGGGTCCTTCGGGCACAGATGGGCAAGTGCTATCATCTTCCACAGAAAGTGGAGTATTTATGCTGTGAGCTACTCACTTTCTCAGTGGAAAGAACGAGCAGGTCCCTGAGCCAGCTCCCTGGGTGGCACCAGAGAAACACCTGCTACTTGCTGCATTCCACACTACATCCATCCTAATGGAGTGCTAAATTACTAAATCTAAATGTGTGCGCGCGCGTGCGCGCCGTTACATAGATGTTTCTAGAACATCACATAACCCGTGACAGAGTGGCTGAGTCCTAAGACGGCTCTAGACTCTCTGGTCAAAACTGAGAACGCAAGGGGCACCTGGGTGGCTCAGCTGGTTGAGCGTCTGACTTCAGCTCAGGTCATGCTCTCACAGTTCGTGGGTTTGAGCCCCGCGTCGGGCTCTGTGCTGACAGCTTGGAGCCTGGAGGCTGTTTCAGATTCTGTGTCTCCCTCTCTCTCTGCCCCTCCCCCGCTCACTCTGTCTCTGTCTCTCAAAATAAAATAAAGACCTTAAAAAAAAAAAAAACAAAAAAAAAACTGGCATCACTCTACCTGACCCAGTGGCCGTGTGCAATGATCAGCCTGAGCAACTCCCTGGAGCTGCTTCTTGTCAGGAAACCAGTGTCCTTCTTGGTTTAAAAATTAAATGAGTCCACACTGGAGGGACCTCTAAAAGCACTTAGCACTTTCCAAAACTGAAGAGGCAAAATCCACCTGCCTTGAGAATCTGTACTGTGTTTAGACCCAGGTGCAATGTATCCGTCTGAGATGCCAGGAGACCTTCCGGAACGAGGCAGGGAAGCGGCAGAGGAGGGGACCGCTTTCCAGAGAAGAGGCTTACCGCCGAGTTTTCCGAGAACTCAAGTGTTCATTCTTCAAATTAAGGAATATGAGTGAATAACCTGAAAAGATTCCTAGAAGCTCATTATTTACGTGTTATTTGAGTTGAACAACGAGTAAGAGACATGAGCAGGGAGGAGGAGAGGGCGAGGAGGAGAGCCAGGCGGCGGGCCGCGCCGGGAGCAGCGAGAGCACAGGCGGGGACGGGGGAGACACACCCAGAAGCTGTGGTGCAGACAACTAAACCCTTTATTGTCTAAGTTACATTAGACGCCAACACTGTAAAAATCCTGTTGAGAAACGAGGGAACAGCAGATCGGTAGAGGTAGTAGAAGTCTGTAACAGTCAGAAGGTGACTTACAGGAGAGATCATGCGGAAATCGTCATCCGAAAAAAAAGCGAATCAAACACACTGGCTAAATAAATAAGAAAACACAAATCATATTAAATACTATGGTCAAACTGACATAAACACGTTAACAGACCGATACAATACTGATGACCAGTGGAAGGAAGAAACCACAGTCAGGCCCGAGGACGGTGCATCTTGGAGGGTGGCTTCCCTGGAGGCTCCTCTCCGTCTGTTCAGGTACCTGAAACCTACTCTATGCAGCGCACGGATACATGAGCCGACCTGGTGTGCGCTCCGTCAAAGGGACCCCAGGCACGCGCCCCTCTCTCCACCAGGCGCCCTGGAGCAGGGCCTCCCGGGAAGATCCCTCCAGGGCCGAGCGCCCGCTGGGCTCCGGCGTGCCGCTTCTGGAACAGTTAAGAATGGACAGAACACGTCCGTGTCACTTTGGGTACAGGACTGCTTTAATAACTAGAACACGGAGAAACAGACAGGACCCAGTCGCCAGCCCCTGCGCACCCCTGAACGGTCACTGTTTGCTTTCGCCCGGGGAAACGAAATGCAGAAGCGATCACTTTGGGGAGGCGATCAGAATGATCCAACGTAAGTCAACAAAAAGGCATTGTGACTCCTAAGGGGAACAGAGGAATGTGTCTCTGTAAGTTTGCTCAAAACAACTTTACAGAAGAGTCGCCTACAGCTGCTTAACGGTATCTGTGTGGACGCTCCTGATTAGGCCAACACAACAGATCATTCTGGTTTGCATCTGGTGCAGGAATTATCAGGAGAAAGTAAGTAAGAAAGTTACATACACACACAGATACGTGTGCACATGTAAACACACGCATGTGCGTATGCACACGTGTATATGTAAGCTAGCCAGTTACGTTCCATTATCTGCGAGTGTCAGAAGTAACCTGAACCGTCAAGTAATTGAAACTCAGTAACAAGTAGAATCCCGAACCAAACACCAACTAATAACATCAACAACAATAATAATAATAATATAATAATTCAACAAAAATCATTAGAACAGGAAAATCACACTCCAGGGTTGGTGTGCGCGCGCACGCATTTCGACAAATCTTTGTATCAGAAGCCCGTTTTCTACAAAAACTGCACTAATCCATTACTGCATTAGGTAAACTGTCGCTCTCACCGGTATTAAAGGTTAGGATAATTTCTGTACATGTAAAATTATTGCTTTTTTGAAAAATATATTTAGCATGCTTGTTTTAATCCATTTCCTGCCTTTACAAAATTTCACAATTAAAAAAAACCTAGTAAAGCTTTTGCAAAAAATTTCACAGAACGTTTTCATTCAAGGCAGCAGTAACTTTTGATAATGCATAAAATCATATGTGCAAAAATCTGAAACTCTCAGAAATATTACTATCACACACAGTGTCACAGTAATAGGAAAAGAAAACATCTATATCTGTGGAATACAATTTCAACTGCGTACACTGCACGGCTTAAGATCCTTTGTCACGGGCCTTAACCCCCCACCACAAGAACTTGCATTTGCGGGACTGAGGAAGAGGTATATAGAGCCGCCCCCGCCCACGGGCCTGGGGCCCTCCCCGTTCTGGGAATGGAGGAATTCATCCTGAGGAGGCCCCGGGCCCAAGAAGAAAAGACACCTACTTGCTGGGCTGGTGTAGGGACCGATGGGAAGGGGAGGGGGGAAAGAAGGTTCGAGAGCACCAGGGCCCCCAAATCCGCTCAGGGCTTCCCCCGCCATCACTAACACGGGTGCAGACCAGGAGGGTTCAGTGGCCGGGGAACCTGTGAAGACCGCTCCTTCACGAGCAGTTTACAGAGTGTAGCCCTGTTACAAAAAGGTCCTGAGAATAAACACAGACGCCCGGTCTTCGGGGCGTCCCGCCAGCTCTCCTCCGAAGCGGAACGTACGGACTGCACACACGCGTCTGCTCCGGAGCGCGCCGAGCTCGAAGACGGGGCGGGGGGGGAGCCAACGGGTGACGCGCACGGCCCCCCACGGCCCCCGGACGGTCGGGCCCTCGTCACGGCCCCGCTGCGCCGAGCCCGCGTCCCGGGGCGCCACCTGCGGCCTCTCCTCCGCGGCCTCCCTGACACCCCCCTTCCCCCCGCCCGCCGGACGAGGCCGGGCTCCGCCGGCGCGCGTCTCCAGCCAGTCGTCCCGAGCTCCGGCCTCTCCGGTGTGTGCCACGCGCACACGAGCCCCTCTCCAGTGTGTCCGACGCGTCCGGGACGCCGCGGACGCCCGAGGCCCCCCAACGCCGCCGTCTGCGAGGCCGCGCGGGCCTGCGCGTGCGCAGAGAGCAGGCGCGCCTACTCCGCGGCCGGCCGGCAGTTCTTGTCAGAGGCCGTTCAGGCACAGGCATCGCCGTCGGCTTCCGGGCAGCGCGGCCGCTGGGGGTGTGCGGCGTCCGGCCGCGGGTGGTCGGGGTCGCTGTCGGTCCCCGCGGGGGCACGGCTCGCGCGGTCGCGGGGCAGCGGGGCACGCCGGAGACGTGTCCTTAGGTTCCCTTTCCGAGAGGCACTGTCTGGACGGTATCCGGGTTAGAACGGCCTCTCCCCTGGAGGAGAGATAGCAGACAACAGAAAAGCTCATTTCTGCCTTTCGGGGCCCAAGTGCACTCTCCCTGTTAACTTTCTCACCAGCACCCCAGCCCACAAACGATGACCTTCGCGCGGCGACCCCTCAGGTCACCGGGGCCCCCTGACCTTGGCGGTAACTCGGGTACATTGCTCACTGTGCCCTCCTGCCTGACACAGGCAGCTCTGGACAGTCGCCTTCAGGGACTCAGAGGATCGTTAGGCCTCTCCCTTCCGCATGTGGGAAACACAAGTAATAGCGTCTGAACCAGCTGGGAAGAAAAGGTTAAAGGGTAGCAAGATGGAGTTGGGGGAGGATTCCCAAAAAAGCAGGAATCTGTAGTACGGAGCAGGCCAAGGACAGTTCCGAAACAAGGCTGAACTGGGGGCGCGTGGGGCACACGAACAGAAAAAGAACAGCTCAGCTCTCACTAGGTCTGTCAGAACCGAGACAGCCTTCACCAATTTCCATAAATAATTACCGTGCTGGAAAAACAGAAGGGGTATTCGAAAGTCAAGTGAGCTGCAAGATAAAAATGGGAATAAATGTGAGCCGGTGGCTCTTAGAGAAGGCTCTCAAACGACATCAGAAGCATCGCTATTTGAACAATGGAGTTCATGATCTCAGGACAAAAACAACAGTAAGATTAATCTTACTTAACTGCATTAACCTTCAGCTAAAGTCGTGATGAGGTGAAACTGGCCCGCTGGAAATTAACATGCATGCGTAAACTAGATTCTACCCGGCTTCCAACTCCGCATAGGGGAACCCTAGAAATAAGTGGGTGGGAGGGGGCAGGGGCTGGCGGACACAGCAAATTAAGTGCTTCTCTTTAGCTAACCTGTCAGAAAATTCCTATGTAAAACTGCCCTCCATTCACGACCTCTTCCAGTCAAGGCTGAAGGCGGTCAGAAAGACATGCAATGAAAACTGGGGTATGGGGGGGGTGGTCACAGTGGTACAGACGTAAGTCGACCTGAAACGCAGGAAACGTAACGGAACTTCCTGAGGTAGGTGGTGAACTTCCTGCAGTAAACTGAGAATAAGGCTCACGTTTTTGCCCAGTGACACCACCCATGGACGGATTCATCAACAGGGTTCTTTCAGAACTGATTCCAGATCCGTTCAGGGAAGGAAAACGGCCTTTGTGTTTGCCGAGAGAAGAACTGGGGTTGCCGTTAGTTGTGAGGGGGTGGCCGTGGAAGTCTCTACAAAGTGACTGTATGCAGCAAACAAACTTGCTGGCAATTCCAGACCTTGTACCCATAACACACACTACACCCCCAAGGGGAGGTACTCCCCCTGGACTGCTCCCTCCTGGGGACCAGAAAACACACACTTGTACTAGGCAGATTAAAAAAAATATATCATTAGAGAGTTAACAGGAAGATGGGCCTCCCTACATAAAAGGCTGGAAGTTTAAATTCCAGAGCTCCAAAAGTTTTAAAAATGTTTATTTTACAAAGACTGCAAAATCTGGATAACCGTAATAATGAGGTTGTTAAATTTAGTCCATAAATCTAGATACACAGATGCCTATTTTTGCTTTATAATTGAAGGGATATGTTCCAATAGCATATCATTTTTTAAGGCAGTCATTTTTACTTACTGATTCATTGGGACCAACATTTTATTACTCCACACGGCTGTCCTACAAGCTTTTTGGAAATGAGTGAAATTCATCTGAGAAATCAGGCTAAAGGGAAGAAATGCAGCTACAGAAGAAAGCGGTCCCAGAAATATTTAAATTCAGTGCACACACAGTATTTCGAGCACACACAGGTTACTTTGTCTCTCCTACAGGACAGAGTATGCAGAAAATTTGGCGCTTTTTTTTTGGCCACTATGTGAATTGTGAGCTTTTCAGGTAACGCTGAAGTAAGGATCCTTCTTTAAGGCATTTCAATGTTCTGGGGGTGGATGCTGAGTTCTGGACCACACTTTTTTCTTCTGTCTTCATAGGCTAAGCGGATGCACACGTCCTCGTGTATGGGGGTTAATGGCATTAACACAAAACAAGCCTGTCCCCCCCATCCCAGGACACACATGAACCCTCAGCCTTCAGACGGAGGGGGACGAGGCTTGCATGAGACACGTGGTATAGCGCTCAATGCAGAATAACATCGCACATGCACCTTACTGACCGAGACCCGCACCCAACAAACCCTGGCAGGGAGGGAATCATGCACTTCCTGTGCGTAATTTTAGACAGATAGCTCGTTATATTCACAGCTTTTCACAGGAGGCTCTGCCTACAGAAAAACAGATAACGTGTAAGATGTTTGCCTGGCCTTGTGAATGATAAAGTCGCTCAGGCAGATGAGCCAAATTTTGAAATTTGATCCGCGGTGCCGAAAATCACAAAGTCAGACAACAGACTCTGCACGTCCACAAACACGCCCATGACGAGACTTCTCCGTCATCTGCACCACAACTGCCGTAGCCAAAAAGGAGATAAATTAGATTGCCATTTATTTTCTCATTTCCTGGTATTTTGATTAATGGAATTATTTCTCCGGCTTAACTATTTTAAAATAACATTTAGAATAATAAGAAATAAACTATTAATCATAGTCTTTAAATTCTGGCAAGGAATCTAAACAAACTGAAAACACCAGATTCTGTGTTTCAGCAGACGCCAGTCTGGTCTTTTAAATCCAAAAGCCATGGGGCAGGGGGACGTGGGTGACAGGAGAGAGGGCTCATTTTTCTTGGTTCTAAACATCATTTTAATTTCTAAGGTTTAACAGCATTAATAATAGAGTAAAAAAACACAATTTTTTCACAACACACAAAAAAAGCCTCCTTAGTTTTTTTATCCCTGTAACATCCATGGGATAAGAATACCCATAGTTCAGCCCATTATTTTCAAAACATGCTCTTCCTAATGATGAATATTGGTGATTACGAGAAACTGAACGCTTCCTGAGTCACGGAAAGCTATGACGAAGCATCCTGACAACATGCAGGACACCCTCCTCACTCTACACCTCTGCTTGATGGTGTCAGCTCCCCGATGCCCGTAGTTTCACACCACAACCAGCAGGAACAAGGGCGCCTCTACTCCCAAGCAGGGGGAGAACCACGTTACCGCCACGGCCACGGCCACCCACGAGGACGGCTCTGCACCCCCAGGCGCAGGTTCCTGCCACAGCAGATGCCAACGATGACGCTGGGGGTCAGACCCTAGGACCACAAGCTTCCTGTGGAAACTCCACCATTCAGTCCACGTCTGTAACTTCGAAGGATTCAGAAGTCCTTCCCACTCCACCTACGGGAGCAGCGAACGCCCATTGACAGGCATGTGTACGGAAAACGGACTATCAAAAACACAGCAAAAGATAATAGTTCCCTTTCTCCTCCAAGTCTGTCCATTCTGCCCTGAGTCAGATCCCTGGGCCTCTGGAACCGGACCTCTCGCCTGTTAACCGGCCCACTCAGATGCACAGTACAGTCAGAATCAGCGAACGCAGAAAACCCACATGTTAACACGGCAAAGCCCGGGCGGCTGGTGTGCGGGCGCAGATGCGAAGCGAGGTCTCGCCGGCACAGAGCCGCAAACCAGGCCCCGACGTCTGCGTGGCAGTACTTTCCTCACACGGCACATCCTCCCTCCAAGGAACAACTAGTCTGTGAAACCAAACAAGACGAAACAAGAGGCTTTCCAAGGTTCCAACAGCCGGAAGGCACCAGGGACAGAGAGGTTCCCTACACGGACTGCGAGCAGGCTCGTCGACAATGGGGATGGGCGTATCAACACCCGCGTAAATACCTGCTTCGCCACGTCCACGTGTGTGTGTACCACACCCCCCTCTGTCCCCAAGACTCCTCCGCTTACTTGGGACGGGTCGTTTCTGGGGTAACGGACAGCACCAGATAACCATCTGCCCCCGCGTGCTCACCTCCCACGCAAGTGCCATCCGCGCTGCTGCCATCCTACCCTTCCAGGGAGCCGGCGTGGGGCTCGGCGTATAGCTCCCTACTCAGCCACCCCGCACCTCCGCCGTCTACAGTGTCTAGTTCCCCAAAAGCGAACCGGCTGATCTGCACTGAATGTCGATGCTGGAAGCTGTTAAAGACACATCTCCTCCCCACTCAAACCCACATCCTCACTCTCGGGCCGGACACCCCTGGGGGAGCCCCAGGAGGCACCCCCGAACTTGGCTCAGACATGACCAGGAGCCAGGTGCGCTGGGCTCCTCGCTGCCAGGCTGCGGGCTCAGGGCGGCCAGTGGCAGCGGCCAGGACCAGGGTCGCCTCGGTCCCTTCCCTTTGCTCACGTCCCACTGCAGTGCCGAGGATGCGGGCACGCCCGCCTGCTCTCCCCCGCCGCACTCGACCTCGGGGCCCCGTGGCTCTCACCAATCAGCCCCAGGCCCCCACAGCGGTGCTCAGACACCCGTCCAGAACCGTCACAACCCGCCTCAACATCGTCCAGAGACACAGCACCGACCCCGCCGTCCCTGCTCGGGCTCCCAGCGCCCGCAGATGCCCTCCGTCCTCCGGCCCCGGGGACGTCACAGCTCCTCGAACAGAACATGCTCTTGCCCCTGCATGGCCTTCCAGGTGCCCCCCTCTGGATGCCAGGACCCTCACCAGATGGCCGCCTTGCCCTTAAGAAACCCCTTGTCTAAATCCCCACCTGGACCTTAGGAAACAAGAGCAGGAAAAGGATGGGCCTGCTCTCCCGCGTGCGCTGGTCGCCTCCGTGTTACAGAGCCTGGCGTGTGGCAGGTGCTCGGTAAACATGGTTAACCGGGAGCGAGTGGTTATTTTACAACGGAACTTGCATCTATGATGAGCATCTGTAAAAGTCCAATAACTGTGTCGTGTAACTTCCGCACGAACACGAGATGTTGTAGGATTTAAAAAGAAAAAAACAAAAACCCATAATCCACAGTTTCCAATGTGCCCAAGAGAAGAATGTGACATAAAGGTTAATCACCTAATGCTAGCAGACTCATCAAACGTGAGAAAGAC